TTCCCCAATTCCCCAGCACTGTTCCCATCCCCAATTCCCCAATAAAAATCTTTTAAAAAAATTATTTGAGAGCCATAAAACAAATAAAATCACCATTATGTTAATAATATCCTTTAAAACTTTTATAAATCAAACTATGATAGTTTTATTTTCATTTTCAATTTTACTGCAGAGCCACATGTATGTACCCAAAGAGCCGCATGTAACTCGTGAGCCGCAGTTTGCCAACCCCTGGTTTAGCTCTTAGTCAGAGGGTGACACCTAACTGCAAGGGAGGCTGGGAAATGTCATCTCTAACTTGGTAGCCATGTGTCCTTGAAAAAAGTCAAAGAAGGAAGAAATATAACTCTAAAAGGAAGAGAAGAATAATGGAAAAAACCAACAGTTTCTGCCACACAACACCAGACACACACAGGAGTACTCTTTTTATCAAAAACAACCAACTGAGATTTCCTAACCCATCAGTTACTGAAAGCTTAACCTCTATAGAAACTCTAAAAGTTGCACTTCTGAAGGATGCCCCAACAAAGCTGGGTTTATCACAATTAGTAGAAACAATTTGGCTAATTATAACAAACTTAAATGTATAACTAAGAGTTGTGTGTAATGGGTTTGGGTAGGATTTAGATTAAGATATGTTTTGTATAACACTATTTCAAAAAACCTTATGATAAGTATGATATGATATGTATGATTTTTTTCCCAAGACCTTTGCTGTGTATTTCTATAGAACAGTCAGGCACATATACATTAGCATCACACTACACAAATTGTTCCTCAACCAGGTTTTCTCACATAAAATATTATAGTTTAAAATTAGGGAGGTAGGCCTTTTGAGCCACTCTGTTGCTCAGGCCCACTACTATTTCTTTGGAGTGTACTTCTAATAAACTGCTCTTTTGTAAAAAAAATAAAATAAAATTAGGGAGATGATAGATAGATAGATAGATAGATAGATAGATAGATAGATAGATGATAGATAGACAGATACCTCACGTTTCAGTTTGCCTGGGACAGTCTTAGTTTATGTCTGTTGACCTATTGTAGTTATTTAATAACACCTTTTGATCTCAAAAGCCTTCCTATTTGAATAACAAATTATATGACCCCTCATCTATAAATAATACATATAGAGAGATAAAGAACACCTAAGCTTGGAATGCTTTACATATATATGGTACTGATTTTGTTCTATATACTGTCCTAAATACTTTATGTATATTAAAGTCTCACTTAATCTTTACAACAGCCCTGTGAAATCGGGCTATTATAAAGATAAAGGACCCGAGTTACAGAAAGGCAAAGTCACTTGCCCCATGTCACACAGTTGGTCAGTGCTGCCAGTGCTGGGTTTAAACCAAGGCAGCCAACCCCAGAGTCCTGACCAGTAACAACTACACTGTAGGGGTGTCAGTGTCAATTATTAGCTTCTATACATTTTCATTTTTTACTCCCCTCAGGATGCTGACACTCAAAGCAACAGCTCAACTCTTCATCTTGGGCTGCACGTGGTGTCTGGGCATCTTTCAGGTGGGCTCAGCTGCCCGCGCCATGGCCTACCTCTTCACCATCATCAACAGCCTGCAGGGCGTCTTCATCTTCCTGGTCTACTGCGTCCTCAGCCAGCAGGTAAATGTTGANTCTGTTCCCCTTCCCCCAATTCCCCAGCGCTGTTCCCATCCCCCAATTTCCCAATAAAAATCTTTTAAAAATAAATAAATAAATAAAATACAGAAAGTTATTTGAAAAAAAAATTTTTAATAAAAAAATAAAGATAAATGAAACTCTACAGGCTTGTTTAAGGAGAAAAGCATTCTATGCACCCCAATATAGACTTTAATTATTGCATAAATATATGTATAAATAATGAAAGTTCACACAAACTATGCTATTATAAAACAATAAAATAAAGATAAATGAATTAATTACACATTAAACTATAAATCCAATAAATAATAATTAAAAAATAAAAATTATTAATCACATGATAGGCTGACTTTTATGCCTTTTTCTGTGTGGGGTTTATATTTTTCAATTTTTAAGGTTAGAAAAACAAAGGATTAAAAAATTCTGTAAAGTGACACTGAAAAAAGTGAAAATCCCCATATAAGGAATGGTGAGTATCATTTCCCATTAGTGAGTCTGACTAAGTCTGCATGGCTCACCAGATCCCAGGTCCCTGTCTTTAATGAGAGATGAGTCTCCAAGAGCTGAATTAGACAGGTGTCTTAATTTGGGGCCCCCAACCAATAGATCCTGAGACAAGAATTTGAGAGCAAGTAGTTTCGCTGGGAGGTGAGCCCAGGACACATCAGTAGGACAGTAAGAAAGTGAGACAGGGAAGAGGAGGCAGCCAGGAAAGGATGCCTCAAAGAGAAAGTTACCCCCATGGACAACTGGGGCTCAATCCCATTGGGTACCAGCTTATTATTTGAGGGCAGCTTCCAGGGGCATTAACAGCCTGGCACCTGTGACCTGCTCTGGCGTGTCCAAGCATGCTTTTGTGGCAGGGGAAATGCTGTCAGGCAGGGTCACTGGAGTTCACAGAAAGCAGCCAAAGGGCAGGTCCAGCTGAGTGTGAAGAGGTTAATAGCCTCTGCTACACAGGACTTCCTGCAAGACTGAGTCTGGCATACCCATTTTTTTCAACTTGAATTCTGCTGTATAACATAGAACCTATAGTTAACAAGAGGGGATTGTGCACTTAATGACTTGTTAAGAGGATAGATCTCACATTGTGTTCTTACCACAAACAAAAAAATGAGTGGACACAGGAAATCTATTGGAGGTGATGGATGTGTGGGAATGGTACCATGGATATATACCTATCTCCAAACTCATCAAATTGTATGCACTCAATATGTGTAATATTTTGTATCTTAGGTATATCTCAATAAAGCTAAAAAGAAAGACTTAGTCTGATACACACCTCTCACACTCTATCATCCGGCTTCGTGCCTGTATAGGATACCCTGTTCCAAGGTGAGGAAAACCACAGTCCCAGAGCAGGAAAGTGTGACTGTGATCTCTCTTCTCTGTGTCCCAGGAGGAGGACCCTGCCCTGGCTGTGATCACCTATGTGGGGCTGAGCCTGTCTCTGCTGTGCCTCCTCCTGGCGGCCCTCACCTTCCTGCTGTGCAAAGCCATCCAGAACACCAGCACCTCCCTCCACCTGCAGCTCTCGCTCTGCCTCTTCCTGGCTCACCTGCTCTTCCTCACGGCCATCGACAGAACTGAGCCCGAGGTACTGACACTGTCCCTAAGGACCCCCTGCCCTGCCCAGGGGATGCAGAGTTCATGGGCCCATGCTGCATCCACACCTTAATAAAATGGCCTTGGGTTGTAGGAAGGTTAGAGGGGTGAGTAGCCACATTCACACTAAGTGAGGCAACTAGAAGACAAACTCTCTTCTAACAACCCCTTCATATACATCAGAGTTCTCCCCAGTGGCAAGGTGTAGGAGAGGTCCTGAGCCCACGCTCCCCTCTGATTCCCCCCCGGTGACTCTCACTCTCCCCCAGGTGCTGTGCGCCATCATCGCGGGTGCCTTACACTACCTCTACCTGGCCTCCTTCACCTGGATGCTGCTGGAGGGCCTGCACCTCTTCCTCACTGCACGCAACCTGACTGTGGTCAACTACTCCAGCATGAGCAGGTTCATGAAGTGGCTCATGTTCCCTGTGGGCTACGGAGTCCCGGCTGTGATTGTGGCCATTTCGGCAGCTTCCAGGCCTCACCTTTATGGAACACCTGATCGGTGAGCTTTACTCTCACCCTGTGCTATGGACAGTTGCGGGGGGAGGGGACAGTGTTAATGATGGTGATTGAGATATCTACAGCAAATGCACTCTAATTTTCCCTTGAGTGTAACAACTCTAACCTTTCCCCATGAAGTGGGGAAAGATAGTGGTATGAGCATGGAAGGTTCTGGAAGGAGAGAGTTTTGTGGTTAGGTACCAGCTTTATTCCTCCCATAATTTATAGCTTTCAAGTTTCAGAACCCTCAATAGCAAAATGGGGATAACGATTGTCCCCATTGTCTCACACTCACAATACTGGTATGAAAATTCAACAGAACTGTGCTTATAAAATGTTTAATATAGTACTAACACATGGTAGTGAAAAATCAAACCTTCATTGCCATCAGCTGACATCTTCAGGAGACATTGGAAAAGCTCTCTGTTAGGAAAAGGTGTCATTTCATGTTCATTTCTTGTGCTTTCTCTGACCTCTCTTTGTGTCCCTTTTCCCATTGCTTCCAGCTGCTGGCTCCAACTGCAACAAGGATTCATCTGGGTTTTCCTTGGTCCTATCTGTGCTATTATCTGTGTGAGTATGTGGCTCCAGTGTTCATGATGGAAGAAGCACCAGAAGTACTGGGAGCAAGATAGTACAAGGGGCATGCATTTTCTCTATTGTATGGTTTGATTTTTCCACCTGCTACCAACTCAGTCTCATGTGCAGGAAAGTAGGAGTTGTGTGCAATTTATAATATACATGGCACATTATTTTAACTTGCATTTTGCTTGGTCTGTGTCATTCCTGCAGGTGAATTTAGTATTTTTTCTCTTGGTCCTTTGGATTTTAAAGAGGAAGCTCTCCTCCCTCAACAGTGATGTGTCAACCATCCAGAATACGAAGTAAGATGGGGCCAATGGTGTTTCTGTCCCCTCTTCCTCTGCTCACCCCCCTCTTGTCTCTCATACATAACCACACACACATATACACCCTATAACTAGGGTCTAGGGAGTAGCAAGTCCACTGTCATCTCCCAATGTCACAATTAATAGAAGCTGCATTAACTAGAGTACAGGCTAAGCTGATGAGACCAAAAAAAAAGAGAGAGTGAAATAGATGTTTATGTTACTTTCTTTTCACAGTCCAGAAGTGAGCAGTCCAGGGCTAGTAGGAAAGCTCTGCTCCACAAAGTGATCCAGGGAGTCAGGGTCTTTCTACTTTGTTTCTCCACCATCCCCTAGGATGTTGTCTTTGTCAGTTTCACATCCATAGTAAGGAGGTGACATGGATGTTGCACATTCAACATTAGCTCATATCCCATTGTCTAGATCAGGGGTCTGCAAATTTTTGAGACAGAAGAGCCAATCCTGACCCTCACAACAATTTAAAAATTATTTGGGGCCGGCCGAGTGGCGCGAGGGTTGAGAACTGGCTTGGGACACCAGAGGGCCCTGGTTCGGATCCCACATATGAGGGCCAGTGACACTGCCCTCNAAAGGCTTAAAGCCAATGATATGTTGTATAATTCTGGCTCCCACGGAGAGAGAGGACCTTGTTTTACATTTTGTGAAATCCCAATAGAGCTGGATCTGTGGGGCGAGTGTCCTGGTGGCCATCCGCTTCACTTAAAATAGAAATCACCTAAGTCACTTCTAAGCCGTGGTTCTCATTCGCCACCTCCGTGTAGTGACACTGAGAGTTGTCCTGTCTGAGCAGAACACAATGAGCTCATTCTATTTTCAGGTGAAGCCCCTGAGCAAAGAGGTCTTTTGTGTCTTCTGGAAAAGCATGGAGGAGGGTGGCCACTGGTCCAGAGATGGCTGTTTCCTGATACAAAAGAACAAGACTCATACCATGTGCAATTGTACCCACCTGTCCAGTTTCGCTGTCCTCGTGGCCTTCACCAGCCAGGTATGATGGAAACATTTAATTCCTCCAGCTAGTCCTTTTTGAGGCCCTATTAGGTGGCAATACATTCTATCAAGAAAATGAAAATGAGCAAAAAACTGGAGTAACTGCAGAGGCATGCCAGTTTAGACAGAGTTGTGAGAGGAAGAATTAAATGCTCAAGCTGAAATCCGATTATTAAGAGTCAGTAGTGCTACAACGTGGATGAACCTTGAAAACACGATGCTGAGTGAAAGAAGCCAGACGCAAAAGGCCACATGGTGTCTGATTCCACTTATATGAAATGTCCAGAACAGCCAAATCCATAGAAACAGAAAGCAGATTGGTGGTTTCAAAGGCTAGGGGGAGAAGGGTATGGAGCACAACTGTTTAATGGGAATGGCGTCTCCTTTCAGACTGATGAAAATGTTCTGGAACTAGATAGAGGTGATGGTGTCACAACATTGTGAATGTATTAAATGCCACTGAACTGTACACAGTAAAATGGTGAATTTTATATTATTTGGATGAAAAAGTCAGGAGGAAAGGGTCTCAGAAAGAGCATCCAAAGAAGAGAAACATGTTTGTGTAAAGACCCTGAAGAGCAAAAAAAACTTTGGTGGGTTCAAAAAAGAAGTGTGGCTGGGGCAGAGTGAATGAGAGGGAGTTGGAAGGAGAAAAGGTTGGAGAGATGAAAGCAGGGAAAATGTGCCAGACCTCAAATGTCATGGTCAGGAATTTAGATTTCATTCGAATTGGAATGGGAAGACAATGGAGGATTTCCACTGGGACTGCTACATATTTGTCATTAGAAGATCCCTCTGGCTCCCAAGTCAAAAATGGATAGTGATGAAGAGTGGACTCACACAGAGAGATGGTAACAGGATTCAGGTGGCAACAGTAAAGGCAGTGGGAGAAGATCAGACCGGACACATATCCTAAAGGTGGGGTCAGAGGACTTACTGATGACATAGGCTGGGCAACAGCACACAGGAAGTCCTGCATCCCTCTCCTCTTCTCAGGGATGTACCCCCAGCACAACATTTGGTGAAAATCTCTGACCGCTCCCATTACACAGGGCAGTGGGGAAGCTAAAGTAGGTTTAAAAACATAAAATACTTCTTTCATTCATCATTACATTTATGAAATTCATCTATGAGTTCGGTATATCCTTAGTTCATTCATTTCCATTGATGTATGATATTTTCTTGCATGACTATACTGCAATTTACTTATCCATTCTACAGTTCTTGGGTATCTAGATTGTTTCCTGTTGGGGGCTGTTAAAAGCAATGCTACCTCTCTGGGGTGAAGCATAGGCAATTCCATGTGGGACCCTCCAGGGTGATGAGGAAGCAACATACTTCAGATGGTGCAGCTACAAGATGGTGGAGCCTCTGATATCATGAGTTTCAAAGTGAATTTGTAGAGCAGAGTATTGTTCCATCTATATAAACTTTAAAAACAGACACAACTACGGCCGGCCGAGTGGCGCGTTGGTTAAGAGCTGGCTTGGAACGCCAGAGGGCACCGGTTCAGATCCCACATATGAGGGCCAGTGACACTGCCCTCTACAGCTAAGATGCTGAACAACAGCTCGACCTGGAGCTGGGTTGCCGTGAGTCACCAACGATGGCGGAGGCTGCAGCCCCTGCTGCTGTGGGTTGCCATGGGCTACCGTGTGTAGCCAGCAGCCAGCGTGAGCAGCCGTCCAGAAGCCAGCGACTGATCTGCCTCGCCCGGGAAGAG